CCCGGACCCCGCCATGCAGGGTGGCACCCAAGCGCAGTGCTGCTGCCTGCACCCAGGGGTGCTCCCAGGGCAGCCAGGGCTTGGCAGGGTCCCGTCACCCCAGGCACCGCTGCAGAAACAGAGCCCTGCCCCAAGCGCAGCCCAGAGGCATGGCCTGACCCCACACCAGGATGGAGGATTTGGAGTTTTCCAGTTCGGGGGCCAGCGGGGCCATGCTGGGGCCAGCAGCATCCCCGGGGGTGCCCCCAGGGACCCACAGCCCAACAGCATCACCACAAGCCCTGGCAGCAGGGACCAGCCGTGCCACAGTGGGTGCAGGCAGCATCATGCATCACTTACCCCCTTCCACGGGCTTTAATCCCTCCACCCAGCCCATACAGCCCCTTCCCACCCCCTGGGCTCCAGGCATGTGGGGCACCCATGGGTGAGGTGCCCCATGCAGCCCAGGGAGGAGGGCTCCCCACAGCTGGGGGACTCCAGCAAGGATCCCCCATCACTCCGCCAAGGGGACAGCAGCCCCGCTGCCCTTGCACGGCCTCATCACTCACCAGAGCAGGCGGACCAGCACCCGTGGATGCCAGCACCCAGGGCACCCACTGCTGCCTGCCCCCCACACCGTGGCCGAGGTGGGGGGAGCATCGCCCCAGCCCGCCTTGCCCCAGCCCGGGCACATGTGTTTCCAATGTGGCTGGGAGCTCCAGGGAGTCGGCGTGCTCAGAAAGCAGCACCAAATTCCTTTCCAATCGAGTAATGGGCCCCAGCAGCCTCCGCGGGGCCGGGCAGGGGGAGGGGACGCTCGGACCCTCCAGGACCGGGCTCGGGGCGGGGGGAATCCCAGACTAAATACAGGGATCCTGGCCAGACAAGAGCGCGGCATCCCCCGGCACCAGCCCAGGGCCAGGCTCCAGCACAGTGTCCTCACAGCCCCCGGCTCAGCCAGGCTGGGCCACCGCCGGGGGACGGTCCCCATCACCCCTGCCCAGTGCAGCTCCCCAGGCATCGCCCCTCGTCCCGCACTCGGGCACTGGGCCCTGCAGTGGGGACGCTGCTCCCACCAGCACCGAGTGCCGGGCACGCCCAGTGCCCATGGGATGGAGGGGCTGGGGACGATGGGGCAAGCTCAGCCCCGAGGATGGGGATGGCAGGAGCTCGCTGCCCGGCTGGGGCTCAGTGGTGGAGAAGGGGGGGCCCGGCCCCGATGCTTGCCTTCCCGGGAACCGTTTCTGCTGCTCTCAGCAGCTTTGGCAGGGAGGGCTCCTTTGCAGCGGATGCCGGGAAGTGAGATGTACCCAGGGCTGACAGCTGCCTCCTGGCCAGCAACATGCACCGCGCTCGCCCACGGCGCCCTTGGGCTGGCGGCAGGACCGCAGGGCTCCCCAGAGACTCGGGGCTGGCAGGGAAGGGGACCTGAACAGGCCCACACAGCCCGGGGTGCTCCCAGCCCTGCCCCGAGAGCAGGGACCCGGCTAGAGAGTGGCATGCATCCTTGCTCGGGGGTGGGTGCACCCCGGCTGGGTGGTGAGTGCACAGTAGGCACCCCAGCCAGAGAGCAGCATGCACAGCATGCACCCAGCACCCAACGGTGCCCAGCACCCCGGCTCTGCCCAGCAAGCTGCATGCCAGGGTGCTGGCAGCATCTCTCCCCCCCATGGCACAGGCACCCCGGGGGGCAAGAAGGGGGTCCCTACGGCACCCAGGTGGGGCTGGGAGATGCAGGTGGGTGCTGGGAGAATTGGGGTGGCGGTGAGGAGGTGCTCCGTGGGGGTCCTGCGACAGCTGCAGCGGGGTCTGGATCCAGCCGGGCCCCAGCGCCCACAGCATGGGGTAGCCAGCACTGGGGGTGCAGGCAGGGCAGGGCAGCCTGGGGGGTCCCGCCGGGGGAGGCCACCCCCCAAGCCCACAGCAGCCCAGCCCGGCGGCAGTCCCGGGCCGGCACACCGCGGCCCCCCCGGGATAGGGCACCCCGGGAGCTGGGGGGGGGGTCCCTCCCCCCCGGCCGCAGGCCGCAG